GAAGAAATGTAAATACAAATATAAATGTTAATGATAATAATAAAACCAAAATTGCAAAGCGCTGTTTATAACATTTGAAAATTATGAAATTAAGACAGCCATAATAAGTATTAGTATTGTATTTTTACATTTGTAATGTAAAACTAAATTGCCATTACTTTTGTTCAATACACTGTAAAAAGTATTAAAAAATGAAATTGTAAATAAAGATTATTGAAGTATGTTTTGCAAGAAAATTCTATTTCAGGCTTTCTACTTGTACATTTAGAAATATATTTTTAATTCAGTTAGTCTAATTCAATGAAATACATGCATATTCTTTGTAAATATAAGTTATATAAGTTATAATAAATAATATAATATAATAAATAATAAAGTTTAGCAATTTCTGATGGTTTCTAGCACAAATCTTTCCAGTGTACTTGATTTTACAGTGAAATATTACAGTAGTAATATTTCTAATTTTGCTTTTGTTTAACTTTGTATTTTTATTTAGTAACAACAACAACAACAACAATAATAATAATTATAATAATAATAATAACTATTATTATTATTATTATTATTGTTTTACATTTTACCTTTTTATCTGAAAAAAATCACAAATTGATTTTTTTCCCCTCCAAATCGTGTAGCTCTGCTTGCTGGGTTTGAATTTCTAACTTTGTAAAATAAAAACCCATCTGTTAAAGCTAAGATGTCAGAAATGTGTCAGAAGATGTCAAAGCTAAGACGTGTCAGTTGTGTAGTTATATACCAGTTTTATTAGTCTTACAGAAGAACGTCTCGGTTACGTATGGAAACCCTGCAATAATCGCATGCCAATGTGCATTGGCTCGTTTAGTTTACACTCGAAGTAGATTGGTCTCTCTAAGCGAGATCCCAATTTCGTCGGTCATCCGACGTGACGTCGAGAGTGACCGACTGAAAGGGAACTGGGACGAGGATATTCAGTCGTTCGTGCCTTTTGATGAAAGGCTTCAGTCAAAAACTTGTTTAACCCGAGAGGTCAGATCAGTCTCAAATGTGCATTTAGAGCCGCAGAGCTTGACTTTAAGACCCAAATCAATGGTTCGCAAGAAAACTGAGGTCAAAGAATCTCTCAGAGGTACGTATTAGATTCTGTAGGAAGTGCGTGCTTTAAAAAAAAGAGTGTGGAAATACTTCTATTTGCAATCGCTCGGTTCTCACAGAGAGTCTAATTCATCATTTAGCTGGAGAGCTCATTTTCACAGTTGCTTTTTTAAATTATTTTTGGCAGCAGGCAAACAGAAATTTGTCTCTTGATTATAACAACTGCTCCCTCGTGGATTATGATGGATTATGGAAACGTACACAATAATTAGAATTAGCTTCTGGGTGATTGACTGTGAGCTTTAAACTTCTCCAGTCATGTCACATTAGTCAGGATGACCACGCACACAGGGAATATCTCACAGTGTTCACATTCATTCTGCCATTTATCACCACAGACTCATTTTCATCTAGCTCGACTTGAAAAAATACATTCTTTCTGAGCGTTTCATCCTGTTTTGTTTGCGATGTTGTCATCCTTTGCAATGATGAAAAGCTAGATGTATGTGTTGGAAAACTTTACCCACTGCTGTTAAAAAGAAACTTTTTATTAGACCTCTAAATGCGAAATTAATGCAGTTGGATGCATTTCTGAAACTTTATGTACGAGCAGAACAATCAAATGTAATTGAGTTTTTATTGGGTACTGAATGTGGTCTGGGGCTGGCAGGTGTATTGGCAGCTGATGTTGCTGGATTCGGCCTGTTGGTTTCTAGTGGATGTTTGGATTGAACGTGCAAAGGCAGTGCAGGACTGTGACCTTGACATTTAACAAGCTCAAGTGTCTTTTCTTTTTCAGTCTCTTCTAGAAGATAATTGCCATATGGCTGCAGGGACTCTGCAAATTAAATTTGAGATAGTTTCTGCCAAAGAACCAGTAGGCTATAAGTAGAAAACAGTAGCTATGTTTCCATCACCCTGTTTTTATGCGCATTTTGAAGTATCGCATCAGAAACGAGTGATGGAAACGGCAAATTTCGAATAAAAATCCCTTGATTCTCAAAAAGGTTTTTACGCTCGCTTGAGGTGGTTTTTGACTTTGACTGCGAAAAAGGGTTAATGCGAATAAAAGGAGATGGGGAAAAAAAAGTAATGTGACTGCGCTATGGGACGGAAAAACCTAACCAGTTGACCAATCTCGTTCCTCAGCATCTGAAATGTTATGGTCATTTTGAAATGTCTGAGCGAAGTCTGTATTTATTATATAGGCCTATGAAAATTATTATATTCAGGGGTTTCCCCTACTTTTCATAGTGATATATAGCCTAGCGCCAGTTCTACCAGGAAGTGACGATTTTGTTCTCTTTGACTCGTTGGATGGAAACAGTGCTTATTCGCAAATGTTTTATGCAATATTTCAATTTTGCGCATTAGTTAAATTCGCAACTTTGGATGGAAACCCGGCTATTGATGCAGTACTTTCATAAGAATACATATAATGCATTACAAGTTCTTAAAGAGATAGTTCACCCAAAAATGAAAATTTGATGTTTATCTGCTTACCCCCAGGGCATCCAAGATGTAGGTGACTTTGTTTCT